ATGTAAATGTACTGTAGAAGTCTCGTGAAACATACTATATTTATGCATCTGATTTGACCTCCGGATTCCGCCATGCATTCTCTTTCGTTACAAATTGTAGGTAATCCTCCTCACATGCAACCCTACATTTTTCGCCCTATACAATACCTAGTCCAACCAAGCTTTAAGCCAAGATAACTTTTTTCCTTACTGAATACGATTCTAATAACCCATTACATAGAGTCCACGGAGGATTACAGCGCTCTGAGAAGGCGAATAAGATCCCCATTTCACTCTATGTCCTTGTAGCAGGTGTTATCAGTTACTACCTGTCCGTATCATCACAGAAAACGAGTCATTCTGCCCACTCATGCTATATTTCTCCCTAGACCAACTCTAACCTTCAAGAAATCGATCTCTGTAGGTTCACTCCGCGCTTCACCCTGACCACTTCAAAACAGAGGAGGAACCCTAGAAAACCATACTTACCGCACATTTTCAGCGACCGTGGCACAAAATATCACTGGTTCTTGCTGTACAACACCAAGAACTGAACGCCACCACATGACATTGTAGTCTCGCAGTGGAATACCATCAAGGGCTACCTGAATGTGCATAATGATCTGAGAAAGTGAAAGCTGAAGAAGAAAAATATTGTAAGAGACAGCTGGAAAGCGGTTCATCACTGATGGGCAAGTGATGGTGGAACAACTTCATCAGACTCACAAGGTTGGCTCGTAAGTACAAGTACGTGTTCGAGTCCTGTGCGAGACCCACCACCTATTGCCGTTTTGATGGGTTTATACCTCCCTCATCATACTAGTCTTTTACTTTTCTCACATCGATCGGTCTCACGGTTTACAGGTTAGGGTAGGCTTTCATAATCTAGATTCCTTTCCATCGAATTTCAGCGTATTCCTTTGAGTTGCCAGCTTAGAGGCCCTATGCCCAATCGCTACAGACAACGGTAAACTCACAGCTACTACTGAGCTGCCCCGTAATTTATCGCCTCAATGGTATCCACACTGGGACCTTTTCTGAGTTTTCAAAAAAGTAAAATACAAACCATTCCTGCACTTTGCTCATAGAATCGGAGAAGTAAGCTGATGATCGTCGACTTTCCACATCCTGAATGCCCAACCAAAGCTACAGTTTCACCAGGGTTAACCTATAACATAGATCCTCAAGACGAAAATTTCTGCGATGGCTCGTCCTCACCTCAAAGCTGACACCATCGAGAATCTTTACGGTTGGTCTAGACGGGTAAGAAAAATGAATATTATTGAAGGCTAGACGTCCTACAAATTCCTCCGGTGTTAGACCGTCACTGCTCATCGGATCGATTTCTGGCACCTATAATGCGATTTTTTAATATATATTTTGATACTGACACCTCATTTAGGGCAACGAAAGCTCCTTACCCTATCAATAACAGCGAAAATATCTGCAGCAGCCATTTTTGCCCCTAAAAAGGCTCCAAGCTGTGGAGCCACATCACTCAGACGTCGTGTTCCCAAGAATACTGACCAGAAAACAGCAAAGATTGTACCCGGAGACACGATACCAGCTATCACTAAGGTGCTACCGTACCTGAAAGCAGCCAGGGCAGTGATGCTTCAGTGACAACTGAAATTGAAAGTTGGTTATCGAAACAGAAGGATTGCTCACCAGAATGAGAAGGCCATTGCGGCGAACATCAGAAATAGAGGCAGTGCAGAGAACATTGCCAAAATGAATGCTTTTCGGATGCCCAACTTTCTCGCTTCTTTCAGTTCTTTTTCATATCTGCAGAATATTTCTTCAGTATTTGTCTCGGTGAAGGCAAAAAGAAGTTTTCAGAAGCTCAAATTTCATTTCCATCCTTACGCCTTATAATCTCTTTGACTATCTGCAGTGCAGGTAAAATGTTCTCATCCCGGTTCCTACAGAAAATAGAGCCGCCGGAAATAAAATCAAGAAAAACAGCAAGAACTCTCTCAAAAGAAAAGTCTTGCTCAGTTTCAACGACAATAATGGTCTCATCCTAGTGAAAAATAGAAGGCATGCCAAGGGACATGAACGAAGTCACATTTGCTTACTCTCACAGAACGCTACTGCACCTGCACAGTGAGCCTTTTGAACAACTATCAGATCATCTAACTGAAGGCTTACCGATGAATCTCAAATGGCTGAGCGTTGAAGGCCATAACCGTTCGTATTCCGGCAATCACTTCGTTGGCAAGGGCTGCCGCTGATGAATACGCGTAATTCTCCATCTTGGATGCTCGTGAAAGTAACTGAAAGAAGCAAGCTCTAAGAAATCACCAGACCGATTTGAACCTCCAGAATAATTTTGTTCTTTTTATTTGATTTCCTACAAACGGGCACCTAATCAGCAAATATTGGAGGTAAAATACTGCCGAAATACCCATAGATGGACGAGGATACATGCCAGAACTTTTTCGTGAAGATCTGTTTGTCTGGCACGTTTTACTTTTCATGTCCCTTGATGTATAGGAATGAAAAGGTCTTGGGACCTGAACAATCCCCTCTAAGGGATGCGCCCTGCGTTCGACTCCATTCGGAATTATATTATCTCCTGAATTAGTGTGTGGCCTATAGACCACTTGCTGGGACTAACCTATATACGAGTTAGTGTTTCAACCCTTCCAGGCGAGTTAGCTGACAACTCACCGATCTTTGAACAATGGAACCTTTACTCACGGTTAGAGAAGCAGCTCGATAGGAACGTCGACCTGTATTGTACCTCTGGTAATTGCTATGATAATGTACAGAACCCTAGCCCACCCGTACACACACCGCAGTTTCGCAATCATTAGATAAGAAGATGAAGCTTGAGTCTAATTCGCAATGTCCATCGTCTACTGAAGTAAAGCCATAGGGAATCAATCCCACGATTTCGCCCTACCTTTCCAGAGAATTGTGTTGCTCCTATCAGCAATGGTACCGTGATGAGCATTACCAACGTCATACGCCAACTGAAATCATATACAATGAAAAATTCGATAAGGAACAATAGAGGGCTGATTACATGACACATTCACTATACAGTCACCATTCTTGGATCACGTGGCAAAAAGGTGAGTGGGAGAGTCATTAGAAAGGTTTAAAACTGATTTAAGTCCAAAGTTGTCAAGAGAGTTGATGTTATTCTGTTGATCTCTGAAAATTGTTTTTTTTAATGCCTCCTGGTGGGCATTGTTACCAGTTCCCTCTTTTTGCCTCGACCTTACCCAGTTCTGAATTGTTTCGATCACCAACCACAAAGAACCAGAACCAACCCTTTTATGAGTACTGACTATTTTCCCAACCCGTTTTTACTGAATGACGAAGTAGATCTCGCCAAAAATGTGCTTATGCAGGAAGGTTTATTCACCTGTACAGCAACAGCTGTTAGGGAAAAGAACGACAAAGAACCAAAAACAATCCTTCCATGGCTACTGCGTCTTCCTTGTGGATCAAACTTCTACTTGCTCTTACCTTTTGAGTGCAGCAAAAAAGTGATTACTAACAGTTCTTTCTCTACGGTTTTATAAAATGTTGTTACTGTGTAGTATATTTGTTGTTACGATGTAAAACTCACGAACAACTCTTTTTTCAAGTAGAGGGTGAAAAAAGCTTAAAGCAAGCCAACTTACCTCAAATAGAAACCGAGTGAGATTCCACCGATGAAACTTCCAATCGACGCGAGGATTAGTCCAAGCTTATCTCCGATACCATCCTTTATTCGTTCCATTCCACTTCAACGAGTAGAAATTTTATAATTTTTTCGAACCCGTTCTGATTTGACGTTCCAAAAAGGAAATCAGATAGATTTTTGGGTTTAGTTAGCTTGGCTACGGGATCTCAGAGGCAGTTTTTCAGTCGAACATGGAGGAGGTTAATTCAGTTCACTTCTTCTTTGATCGTTGCAGGCCTCTCAGGTCAAAGCTATAGGCAGGGAATAGCCCAAGTAAAGAATGAGAACTGCAGCAGTGGCAGTAGTAAGTTTGATATAATCCTCCTACATACAGCTAAGTATTTTCTAATGATTTACC